TAAGTGAGATCGAAATAAGCGCCAAATTAAGGGAAAACGATAAATCTGCCGTGTCATCAGGATACCATTCATAATCATAAGATTTAATAAATATTTGTTACAATCACAAACTTTATTCTTAACGACGTAAATGAGAAACAGTCACTTTAACTGTATTACTCATTCACTTACACATCATGTATTAACATGTATTTTTTTATAAATCGGATATGAAATAAATTCAAGCTTTTACGAAATTGTTGCAACTGTTACCGTATTCCCATTGTTACCATTTGAATGACAATTGTAATAAAGATGTTCAAAATATCATTATATTATTCATTAACAATTTTTCCTTTACTTTACCCATTTGAAATATAGTTGGAACATTCTCTATTTACAATGACCATGAATACGTTTAAATTATATTTAAAACGATCGTAAAGCGCGGGAAAGAATCGAGAATCGATATTCGAAAAATTCAAACAAGATATCTAACCTCTAAATTAATCGTCGGTTTAAAATGCGTCGTACTTGTATACTAGTACGGTAGCGTAACATTCTCAGTTTGTAAAAAAGCCAAACAATGTCTGTAAGTATAAATAATATTATTCTCGACACTAAAACTTTATCTGTAAAAAATCAATCGAGAAGCTTGATTGATATGTTTCATTTTACAGGCGGCGAAACAGGTAAAGATTCGTTATTTTAACAACATAACCTGCAAGCCGTTCAATCTTCTTTATGTTCCTTATAGCAGCAGAATGCTCACGGAGAACCGAAAGAAAGAAAGAAGAAAGAAAGTATACTGGATCTCTCGAAATATTTAGAGAAAAATATTAGAGTAAAGTTCGCTGGTGGAAGGGAAGCTGCAGGAATCTTAAAAGGATACGATCCCCTCCTCAACTTGGTACTTGATAATACTACAGAATACCTCAGAGGTAATTTTCATTGAATATCATCTCATATCATATCATAAGTTACAACTATTTATTCATTTTAATTTGTTTCTTTAGATCCCGATGATCCATACAAATTAAATCAAGATACTCGTATGTTGGGTTTAGTCGTATGTAGAGGTACATCTGTGGTACTTATTTGTCCTGTAGATGGGATGGAATCTATTCAAAATCCTTTTATACAACAAGAAGGTTAAACAAAAAATTTCTTTTTTCTTTAATCTATATTTCTAATAAGAAAATAAATTTTGCGAGCAATCTGATTTGTATGTTAATATAGTTGAGCAAATTTTTTTATAACAAAACTAAATATAATTTATTTTACATCATATAAACTATATAAACTTATATAATAAATAAACATGATTTTTCGTATAAAAATATAAATACACACGTTTTTTATAATAAATAAATAATTTAATAATATACGTTTTCATTTTGCGTGTTATATTAACGCAGATTTTCGTGCGAAATCGCATCATTCCATTCCAAATTCATTTCTCAACCAAGGATACTCTTTAGGACACTCGAAACACGTATGTAGATAACGATACGATTTAAGAACTTTACTCGGTAATTTACAACTGCTCGGCAAATCGCAAGCCAATTCAAACGGATGGAATTTACGCAAATTGCATTTCCAAGGCTTGAATGTTTCGATTCCATTTAAAGATGTTGGTTTACGCATCCATTCGATTACCTGATAACTCGTTACGAAATAGACGTCGCTTAATCGTAACACGTCGTCCATGAATTTCTGAAAATATTAATTTACACGAATTTAATAATTATTATAAGAAATGGAAACAATTCGCTTACCGTAAACGCGTAAAAATACGATGGATTTTGAAACCATGATGCGTGTAAATGCAAGCCTAGAGGCGCACGATTACTAAGATAATGCCTTTTAAAATTCAGCATCAATATTTTATATATCTCTTCACCCGATAAATCCGAAGGACACGAATCCATCCTCGTGCAAGTGTATTGCTAAAATGGATAAAATAATGTATACCAATGATACCATTTTACAAGATATATATATTCGTATACCTGCAAACTTACGCCTGCTAAAAGTTGATTTAACGGAAGTTCCCATAAACCTGGATACGCACGAGTTGGGCAAAATTGTTCCAGATCTACGCAACTGTACGGTGGTTTATAGTCCAGTGTATAAGGCCACACTGGCACATCGGAAAATGGAGCCAATATGGACGAATCGTATACAAATCCAAATTCAGACATCATTAGAAACTGTCGATTCCATCCGATTCGTAAAAAGGGCGCTCTTAAACCTATTACGGATAATAAGTTGGACATTTTTCACAATTTTTTCTACAACGACGAGTTATTACCTTTAATGTCCTCTAAACGAACCGCAGCATATTTGTTAATAATATTCGCCAAGCCAACCATTTCGTCGAACCAATCCTCGATGGTAGCATTCCTCGACCACCATTCTTCCGGCCCTCTATGCCTGTAAAAATGCCAATTAAAAAGATTACGATATATTTATATATATATATGTATAAATACGTGATATTAATTCAAAATTCCAACAGCAACTATTTTTTTACGTGACGGAATGGGCGGCGATTTCGTGCCCCATGTTCCACAGATATTGAACGTCTCTGTAATTCGTGTACTGATGACTGACGTAGAAAGTTCCCCGAACGGGGCAACCGTTTGGATTTTTCCTATCGTTTGAGAAAATTTCTAGAAAGAGAGGAAGAGAGGAAATGAGATCAACTTTCACAACAATTTAAATAACTATGCAATTTTCTTATTGATAACGTCGTTTCCCTACTGGAGAAAAGTTGGAAATTTTCCGCGTTCACTGCATCGTCGAAGGTGACGGATATCATCTGGGGCACCGTCGACACCGTCAAATTACCAGGAATCGTCGTCCCGTCCTTGGAACACCAGCAATTCGGTAAATGGCACTCCTTCGGATCGCAAGGTAACGCCCCGCTCGGATCGTTTCGAATATCTATATATTATAAAATGCAGCATATATGTACATATATATACAGAACATTCTAGCACTAATGAATAACGAATACGTTTCTTCTTACCGCACCAGCCACCTTCGTCGGAGCCATCGGGACAGTCGACACTTCCGTCGCAAAAGTATGCGGCCGGGAAACAGGTACCGTCGCCGCAAGCCAAATGTTTCTCATTGCAATCACCGTGCTCGAGAAGCGGTCTGGGCGGTCGCGTCTCTGTAAAACGCTTAAAAAGTTCCAAATCACGATCCGGTGATTGCACACACGTAATATCCTTTTCTTTTCTATTCCCCTGTCTGTCCATTTTCTTTCTTTCTTTCTTTCTCTTTTTTTTCTAGTCGAAAATCGTACCTGACATCACGTCGCAGTTGTTGACGTTCGCTTTGAAATCGCACACCTGCCTGGAAACATCGAACAACAATCCCTGGGAGCATCTGAACTCGAACACCTCGTTGTCTGTGGAAGAGGAGCTTGGTTGAAAAATTATTCTCGAGGCGTATATTGGATGGAACGTAATCGGGACAAATTACCCAAGCAAAGATAATACTTGGCACACTCGATAGGCGACCAAACGTTATGTGCCGGCGCGTTCGGATTGCGATAGAACTTGTTATCGTGGATGCACGGTGTGTCTTCCGATTTCTCGTTCCCCCGTGACGCGTCGCCTGAAATAATACGGAAATTGAATCAAGCGTGTACACGCCAGGAATAACTTGTATCTCCGTAACGAGTATTTTTCTCCGCGAGCTTATAAATACGTTTGGATGATGGATATATAGAACGCAACAAGTATTGCGTATTGTTCCAAATTTGCGACGAAACAAGAGACTAGCCAACTCTAACTAGCTCTATAAAACTTTCACGACTCTTTTTTAAAAATAAAAATAATTCGTACCAAGTAATCGAGTTCTAAAAGAAAAATCTCGTTACTCTTGATCATATACACGTTTATTTTCGTCGAGAAAAAAGAAAGTGTGTAAATATTATTTACCGTTACTCAAAGTAGTTCAGTAGTTTGATAGTTTTAATATCATTTCGGGATATCGAAATAGATTTGGAACTTTTCGAAGTTTCAATTGAAATTTGAATTAATTGGTTAATTATAAGACGAAATGAAACTCGTGAAACTCACCGGAAAGGAGGATAGTGAGGAGGAAGAGAGAACGCAATTTCATATCGATAGCTTTAGATCAAGACGTTCCGTTTCTCGTTCTTTGTACGAGAGCTCGCACTTTCCAACTGACACCTTATTCCAGAAACGAGCCTTATATGATGAGTATTCGCTTTGCCCGTTCATCTTCCGCTTTACTTATTCTCACAGAAGCGTCTATAAGAGAGAAAATATACAATTACGATTATTTATTTATATTCATCGAATTCATCCGAATCTTTATATAAAATATATTGTTCGTCGTGCAAAAGTAAGAAATGATCGTTTCGATAAGAGAAAGTAATAAAATAGAATGAAATTTGGATTTTGAATATTTTGCTAGCCAAAAACGTATGTACGTGTGAGAAGAAGAAATCCATTTTTTTAATAAGTTCAAGTTGATTTTTAAGTTGAACAATTTATCACGTATAAATTTTCCGTTTTGTTTTAGCAACTTACGTGAACATGAACTTTGAGATTTGGCGGTTAATCGATTCCGGATGAGTGTTGCATTGGCATGATTCAAAAATATATTTAAATCGTTCCTCTGTTTCTTATCCGCTTTTCATCCGTATTTACTTTGTAACGGATTATTTATCTTAAATCTTTACTTTCACTTATCATGGATGCATATCATTATTTTTCAAAAAATAAATTATTTTATATTAATAAAAAAAAAAAAATAATCTTTTCTTCTATGCTCACATTTTTAAATAAAGAGAACTCTTCGCATCACCATCAAAGTTTTATGTAAGTTGGTAAGTACATAAATAACAGGTTGTTGACAAGCAGATTTAATTAACCGTCCTCAAAAAATGATTTACTTTGCCATTTCTCAGTCGTATATCTTTTATGATTTTATGATTTTATGATTTTATGTTATTATATGAGCTAACACGAAAAAAAATAAAAAAAAAAAATCGAATTATATTGTAAATTATTTTCATTTTCATCGTGTGCCATAAATTTATTTTATCGTTTTATATATTTCATTTTGTAGTAATTCAAATTTTGATATAATATTTTTAGAATATTTTCCCTACATCAACATCATTTTCATTTAATTAGTGAACTTTTTACGATTGGGAAAAATTTTCAAGGATATTGAAGATTGATTGAAAATTATTTCAATTGAAAAAAGAGATCACAAGATGATCACAAGCAAGAGATATTAACCGATGAAAGCTGGCGAAAGCGATATTTACTTTCATGCAAGTTCGGTGACTGTGCCATGGTGACACTGACACCATGATCCAAGCCCCTTCCTCGTATTCATGAACGGTATTACCATGTCCTTCTTTAGAGGAGGGGGGAAGTATTCTAAACTTAGCTACGAGTCGAGAAAACTCGACTCGAAATCATTGCAAAACCACCATCCTCTCGAATCAGTTTCTTCATAACCGTTTTGCCGTTTACCTCTCGTGTTTCTTTTACCTTCGAACAATTAAGAATAGTGAAAACTTTTTTAACTTCACTTTCACATCCAATTGATTCATCTTTCGTAAAGATACAGAAAAAAGAAAGAAAGAAAGAAAAAAGAAACAATTACATACGAATTAGAAAAAAGAAAAAGGATCGTGAAAGAAAAGAAACAGGATTGATACTAACTGAAAGACTTCTTGGAGAATGGCATACAGCTGGGATAATCGAGTAGATTTCATTGTAAGATTTCTTTACGGTTAGTACGCGGTTATTTTCGATAGAATGTGCGTGATCATACCTTGGTTGTTGCACAAATAATGTCAATTATTGCTACTCTAAGTTGAGAGCATGTTACGAGTGTTGTCATTGTGCAGTTATCAATAAAAATTAATGTGTGATTTATTATAGAACCCTTTGAGATTTCTTTCCTTCGAATCGTTACCAAAAAGATACGTAAAATATGTATCGACCATTGATCCTTCTTCCAAATGAACTTGTGCGTACTAACAAGTTATATATGTATATATGTTATATAAAAAAGAGTCAAAAGAATTTTATACTTATTTTTCGAGAAATGAAAAAAAAGATTTCCAAAGATTTCAACATTATCGTGCTTGTTTAGGATATAGGTTGACTTTATAAAGTATTACTATGCCGTCGTCATTATATTCGTACTTGGTTGATGCCAAATTTAAGCTTGATTCTAATTCGTTTTGTAGAACAATTTATCCGATTTTTTTCAATATTCTGCTTGATATATGTCTTAATCGTGTGCAAAAATGCATCATTAACAAAGTATGATGTTACAGTAATAATCATAAACTTGCTATGATGTGATAATCAAATTCTCTATTTACAAGAAAAGCGATTTGATCGTCGTTGATTCCAAATGTATGACAAAAAAGAATATGCGAAATCAATACTTCAAAGAACAGAAATCGATATTTGATAATATCGATACATAAGAAAAGTTAATAACACGTATATCGATGTACGATGTAAAGATCGATAATCGATCCAATCGACTAAATCGATAAAATTAATCATTATCGTTTCAAAATAATATACGTACTAAATCGAATAGAAGGAAGGTTGTACATTTAATGAAAAATATCGACCTTTGCCAAAAAGTGAAATACTTGGAATGTATCCAGCTATACCAATGGCAAAATTTCCTTAAAAATAAATTGGCACAACACGATTGATTAATTAAAGGCCGCCTTACACGCACTAGCTTTTATATTTTAACTCGACTAACAATATGTAATTTCACAATATTTAGACACAGATAACAATGGCATATTGGAAAAACACGATTTTGAATGCATGGCTCTTAAGATGACTTTGATCGAGGGAAAAGGAGAATTTAGTTACAATCGATATCAAGAGAATTTACACATCATGCTTTCGTTGTGGGAAGAAATCGCGGAGCTCGCCGATTTCAACAAAGTAAGATTTATAGGCTATTGTTTCTGCTAATATTTCATTCGCATTCTTTATTCAGGATGACATTGTAACTATTGAAGAGTTCAAGGAAGCGGTACAGAGAAGTTGTGTCGGACGAGAATATCAAGATTTTCCACAAGCAATGAAAATGTTTATCGATAGTCATTTTAAGATAGTAGATTTGAATGGTACATACAGGATTTACCTCGTCGTTTTGTTTCTACTGTTAATAAAATAATTTTATTTCTAGACGACGGTGTAATTGCTGCCGATGAATTTCGTTATAATTGTGTAACAAGAATTCCTGTGGATAATGTAAATATTTTGGATGAGGCTTATCAAAATCTTCTTAATGTAAGATCATACATGGATAAACGATTTTTAAAAAACCGCTTGATTTGATTCGATCTCTTATTATTATTATTATTTTTATTCTTGATTTACCGGATATATACATATACAATTATTTTTAATTTTTGATCTAACAAATTTTAGATTAGACACATTTCTAGAGAATTCATAAAAAATGTATTCTTAATGATATTGTCGAAAAAGTAACAGAATTACAAAATAATAAATTAATTTTAAATTTAATATAAAGAATAATAGAATATGGTAAGTATGATGATATTATGATTAACTTTTAATTAAAATGTTTAAAAAAACGTTTGTAAATTAAATTGCAATTTCATTCACTATAATACTTCTAATACAAGACGAGAAAACTGTTTTATATAAATATAGGAATGTAAATATTATATTGTTATAATTTAATTGTTCCTTTTTGCATTTTATTTAACTTTATTCATTTATTCGTACAGGACGACGACCGGAGACGTGGAGGATTAACCTTATCGCGTTATCAAGAACTTTACGCTCAATTTCTTGGTAATCCGGATGAAAATTGTCCAGCAGTTCATTTGTTTGGTCCTCTACATGCAATGGGTTAACATTGATATTACGATTATAATTCTTATATGCACATAAAAAAGACAATCCAGTTGTATTTAATACATGTAATTGTTATTTAATTATTTATGTAAGATGACTCGTATAATAAATTCTCTATTTTATTGTAAGACATGCATGCACAGATTTTTCTGTAAATACGATATTTTATTTATTTAGGACAAAATCGTTAGCGAACAAATATGTGTTTAACACACAAATCTTCCCAACAATATTTTATATATATATATATATATATATATATATATATATATATATTT